CAGATCACAAGACAGCTGGGAGCTTTTCACACCTGGAATCTGCAAATGGTAATAAGAATTTTGGTACCCAAAAGCTTGAAATAGGAAAACATAAAATAGCATTGGTTAAGTATAGTTTTGTGGTTTGTTCTTTTTTTAAAAGAATTTCTTCATAACCAATGCAGTTGGAAATTTAGGTCAAGGTCTTAATTTTAGTTTTTCTCACTGACCTGCTGGATAATGATTATCATTTATTTTAAAGACCCCAACATTTAATTAAGATATTTAGAAAATACTTAGTTTGTAAGAGGAGAATAGTTTTCAGATACACACTTAAAGCATTTAGATTTTGCATTTTGAACATGGACTTTACCATAAATGCTATGGAATTAAGACCTTTGAAAATGTCCTGTACTGATTCTCTGTTTATTCAGACTGACTGAAATATACATGTATGTATGTACGTATATACGTCTGTACATATATTCTGTAGAACAGAAGCAATCTTCTGTCCTTATTTGTTCTGTCCTGTGACTACATTCAGCCAGCATTGTACTACTTTCTCACCCTTATGTTTAGATTTTAACATCTACAAAGGCTGATTAGCAGATATTGGCTTCCGTTTTGGGCCATCTGTAAAGAAATTCTAATATACACAAGCATACATGTACACAAATTACATGTCAGTCTTTCCATTCTGAATTAGAGTCAGCTCTTAGAAATATGATAGTTTTTTTGGTAAAGTTTTGCTTTGTCTAACTGCGTGTAATGTTTTAATATACTTGGTTGGGTTAAATTAAAGAGTTCTTTTGGGTAGACGATAAGTAGTTATAAGTAGTTTAAGTGGATAGAAGAGTATTGAATGGTGAATGCTGTCTGTACAATATTAACTTTGGTTATAAGCACCACTTGTCCTTTATATTATACTGTGGTCAGTTCCCAGACAAAGGAAGGCTTTTGTTATGGAATAAAATCTGTACTTATAATTTTTTCCTAATTATTCCATGAACTGTCACCTGGAAATAAATCGCCAAAGGGATAATTGCCTTTAATTCTGGTAACTCTGTTATCCTGTTTGTTTACTCTCTTGACATAAACTGATCCGATAGTGAAACTGATGGATACATAATTTCATGAAATGCGTTGCCATTAAAGTGGTTGTTGTTGTTTAGGAGAGCAGTAAAGAAAAGTTCATTTTGCAGAACATGGCCTTAGTGCCACCTGTAGAACTGCACTGTTGAAAGATTCCTCCCTTGATCGAATAAGGGAAAGCTTGCACCTTAACTGTATGTCGTTAACTACTCATTTGCTTCAGTAGGATATGGAACATGCTGGAATGCTCTTACGTTGTTTGCCACCATTGTAAAGTCTTCAGTTGCTTTGCTGAAAGCAATAGCTGGCTGTATTTCAGTAATGTAAATGGAACTATCTGTGTTTTTATGCACTTCATAGTCATCTGTGGCATTTAGAATGTGTCTGAACAATCTTAATTTGAGTCCTCTAAAATTCAGAAACTTTTCAGTTTCATCCTGAACACCACCTCCAAAAAAAGTCCTCTGAAGGTAGTCCTCCCCAGAAATGTCTTTCCATATGAATTTTAATAGGGCTGGAGTCTGAACGGCACATGAGTGTGTTTTCTATCAAGATATTTACACAGTGCAGTGCATTAATAATTCTTAACTCAGTGAAAGAGAAAATTTGTTAAAGTCATTAGAGCACACAGCAGAACAGTGAAAATCAGTATATGTCAGAGCGTGAATAAAAACTTTAAAGGAACCCTGTTCTCAGCAGTGTAGGCATGTAAGCATCTGATACAGCTGTGATTTTGCAGAAATGTAAATCAGTTTTGGACTTAAATTAGGAAAAAAAGACTGTTAGCATAAACAAACAAAATTCATCTTTTCTCCATCTTAACCATTGGTATAATTGAGTGTAATTCAGTGTGTGTAACTGGGAGTTGCTGCCCATACCGCAGGAAGAATGTGGAACAAGAAGAGGCTTCTCAAAGGAGCACCACAGAGAAGACCCATGGGATAGGAAGGAAGGCTTAATTTAGAGGAGGTTAAAAATGATTTGATCTCTGTGTTTAGGATGCTTAAATGAGTTAAAATTAGTGGGACTGGAACTCAGTTTCCAAAAGTGTGACAAAGTCCTGTGGTAAGAAACTAAAATTAGACAGGTTAAACCTTGAAAAAAAATCATCTGCTCACTATGAGAGAAGGGACTTGACAGAATGCTTTATAGAGGAGAGTAGGGAACTTGTTGCTTCTGATGACCGAGTATGTGTGCATATACACTGCACAGGGTGAAGAGCTGCCTGAGCAGGTAGAGGTTCTGACTAATTTTAAACTCTTGTGGTCTTGAAATCTATGTACTTAAAGACTCCTACATTTGGGGAACACAAAGTTGTCCAAATTAACTGCAACATGTTTATAACATTTGTCTTTCTTAGGTAAAACAGTGCTTGGCTATTTCATGTGTACCAAAATAGTGCTAGCTTCTTAAGGGAACGCCTTAGGGGTGCTAATTAGCATCAGGGTTCAGGAGAGAACTGCTTCCTGTCCATGATTCTTTAACCTACCCTCAGTTTTTGGTGTTTTAAATACTAGTCAATGATAACGTAGAATAAATTTTCTTGCTTTCCTATAATAGAGGATGGCAAGAGATTTAACAAGGAGTCAGTATAGTGGAATAGAGAAGAAAAGGCTGAGGAGGCCTTGTGGGGCCTAGAGCTTTTCATGAGGGGAGTACATGGGCAGGGCTGATCTCTGCTCTCTGGTGACGGCGACAGGATCCAAGGGATCAACATGGAGTGCACTGTGTATTAGGTCCCCGGGGCAGTGATCAGAGCCCCAAGTGCTGGAGTTCAAGGAGTGTTTGCACTGCACTCTCAGACACAGAGGTTGGATTTTGCATGGTGCTTTGTGGAGCTGGGAACTGGGCTCAGTGATCCTCATGGATGCCTTCCAACTTGGGGTGTTCTGATTCTTTATGAGTAAGACTGAGGAACTGTGCATAAAGGAAGATTTTTATCCTGGCCAGGCAGATGTTATCTACAGAATTATGGTACTTTTAAGGTAATTCTTAAAAATGTGGTATGTTTCTGTTGGTGTACATCTGTGTGGTAGCGCTGCACTCGAGGCTAGTTACTGATGCTCTCATAGCGTGCTCAAGACTTTGGAAATTGAGAAATCTTAAAAATATTATCAGAGCTGTGACTATAAGTTGTGATTTGAAATGTATATTAAAAAGGTATCGAATCTGATACCAGATGAAGGCTGGTAGGAATACCAGTACAAAACTCTAAAACCATTGTTGTCGTGTATTTAACCAAGTATTTAGTATTTGTACAGATGATGAATTTCTCTTGTGAGAAAGCTTTAGCAAAATTCAAACTTGTCAATTTTTGATCTCATTCCAAGCAGATGAATACTTTCTGCACTGCTTTTTTTTTTTTTTTTTTTTTTTTTTTTTTAATAAATAAACAAAACATGCGCCAGGGGAATAAAAGAAGTAGGAAAATAAAGAAAGATATGGGAGTAAATACAGTACTTAGTGAAAAACACCACATAATTGGAAGGGGGTGGAAGGGTAAACAAAGACTCGAACAAATGGAAAAATCATTGAGCATGCTGTAAACACGTAATTTTAGAAGTGTTTAATAGGCCTTTATCAATTTGTTGCTGCTGTTTAATTTTCTCTTTAGCTTACTTAGTTCTTATCTGTGTTATGATAGCTCCAACCAAAAAGGCCAGTAATTAGTCAGCATTTCAGTAATGCTAGGAGCGTTAGCTTAAATTACTGCAACTTGCTGTATAATTTTGACCTTATATATGGGGAGAATTTACCAACACCAAATTGGTTTAGTTCAACTTGATTAAATTTCAGGGTGGACTTTTTGACTCAGAATATACAGTCTTAATTTGGTTTCTCTTCATTTGTTTGAATTAAACTGATTCAAGCTGTGTATTCTTAATAAGTGTGCTTTCACAGGTATCTAATCCACTCTAACTAACTAGGTATAAATTTAAATATTCAACTAATTCAGATTAATTTTCCTCCAGAGGTTTCTGTTTTGTTTGGCTCAAATGTAAGAATTTACAATTGAAGTGAAAAAGGCATAAATGAATAAGGAAAAATGAATATGAAAGAGTATAAATACAGAACAAAACCACAACCAAATATAATTACTGTTGTGTTAAACCTCTGTCTTCATTAAGCAGTAGGGTTTTGTTAGTTTTATTTCTTGCGGTTTTTAGGTGTAACTTAGGCATGGTATTAAACTGAGCATTTCTACATATGAGAAGAGATCCTGTGAATTTGCATCAGAATGGTTGTGGAAGTGTTTACCATTTGGGTGCTGATTCTGGGGTGAGATGATTTTTCAATTTTAGCCTATGCTGTTTTGGAAGTGATTGAAATAAAACTGTATCAAATACACTTTTGATGAGTCTTATTGAATAAGAGAGCTTCTGTCATTGTATCAGTGTAACAAGCACAATTCTAGAAAAGCTGGTA